GGGATTCTTATTTTCATTTAACACATTTTAGTTTTCCACTTTTATTTTTTATTTATTATTATCTTATAAACGATTTGATTTTTTTTGGATTTTTTTTTTAAACTTTGTTTTTTTTGTGATCCGATCCGTGATCCGATCCGTGATCCGGTCCGTGATCCGGTCGGTGATCCGATCCGTGATCTGGTCCGTGATCCGATCCGTGATCCGGTCTGGTCCTATCCAGGTTTTGTCGACGCCGATGCATCAGCTTACTTAGCAACTTTGGTCACAAAAACTCTGGGTGCAGATAATTTTCTGGGACGAGGTGTCGCCATCATTTAATATGCTCCCCCCCCCCCTCCTCCCCCACTGACAAGTTGAAGATTTTTAACAGAACCTCATTCTTTTGGACAGATCTATGAAGGTACTATCTTGTCTCATTACATTGACGGAAGTGACGAGAACAGTTCCAGTTGGATGCGTTTCATCCGCTGTGCAAGGCACAAAGGCGAGCAGAACCTCTTTGCATTTCAGTATAACGGGAATATTTACTACCGAACATTCAAAGATATCCCCACGGGCACGGAGCTGCTTGTATGGTATGACGAGAAGTACCCAATGTACATGGGCATTCCTCTCGGAATACAAGCCGAACCTATAGCCAGTACATCTACTGCAGGTCAGTCTGTATATTTATGACTTATGGTTTTTTCCTCTTAATAATCTCGCATAATCGGTCGGACCGTTATTAGTCAGTCAGCCAGTCAGCCAGTCAGTCTGTCAGTCCACCAGTCAGTCCCCAGTCAGCCAGTCATTCAACCAGTTGGCCAGTTGGCCAGTCAGCCAGACAGTCAGCCAGTCAGCCAGCAAGTCAGCCAGCAAATCAGTCAGTCAGCCAGTCAATCACCCAATCCATCATTCAGTTATTCATTCAGTCAGGCAGTCACCCAGTCAGCCAGTCCATCAGTCCGTCAGCCGATCCAGTCAATCAATCAGTCATGCAGTTACTCAGCCCGTCCGTCAGTCAGTCAGCAGTCAGTCCGTCAGTCAGGTAGCCAGTCAAACAGTCAGTCAGCCAGCAAGTCAGCCAGCAAATCAGTCAGTCAGTCAGTCAGTCAGCCAGTCAATCAATCAGTCAGTCAGTCAGTCAGTCAGCCAGTCAATCATCCAATCCGTCATTCAGTTATTCAGTCAGTCAATCAGTCAGGCAGGCAGTCGGTCCGTCCGTCCGTCCGTCAGTCAATCAGTCCGGTCGTCAGTCAGAGAGAAAGTCAGTCAGCCAACAAGTCAGCCAGCAAATCAGTCAGACAGTCAATCAATCAGTCCATCAGTCAGTCAGAAAGTCAGTCAGCCAGTCAATCACCCAATCCGTCACTCAGTTATTCAGTTAGTCAGGCAGTCGCAGTCAGGCAGTCAGGAAGTCGGCCAATCTGCCAGTCCGTCAGTCCGTCAGTCCCTCAGGTCAATCAATCAGTCATTCAGTTATTCAGTCAGTCCGTCAGTCAATCACTCAGTCAGTAGGTACGCCAACCAGTCCGTCAGCCATACAGTCAGTCAGTGAACAGAAAATCAGTCAGTCATTTAGTCAGCAGATCAGATAGAGGGTCATTCGGTCAGTCGATCCGTCAGTTAGTAAATTAGTTCGTTAACCAGTGTCGGTCACTAGATCCGTCTGTCGGTCAATCAGAACGTCGTCTAGACAGTCAGTTAGTTTGTTAGTCATACCGAGTGACGGTCGGTCCGTCCGTTGAAAAGACAGTCAGGCAAAACCAACAAGTCAGTCGTTCAGTCTGTCAGTCATTTTGTAGTTAACTTCTCAGGTTTTAAATCAAATTAAATTCTCAGGTACACATGACAGAAAACAAGGCGACACAACCGTACAAAAGTCTAGTCAATCTTTAAATCCAGTTTTGACACAAGTCAACCCTCAGGATACAACTCGATACACCAGAACTGTTACTAGCTCCCAGTTCACTACGAGTAGAAGTCCTCTTTGGAGTGGTCAAGGTAACGGAATAAGTAAATAGATAACAAGATCGAAAAATAAATAGATTTTTATTAACAAAGAAACCCACGTTTCTGCCTGGTTTGTCGTGAACACAAACACTGAACCCGCCTTTTCTCAGCAACTTTGTAACATGACTACAGCCGACATGAGAGCAGTTCATTATCGAGCTCGTTCTTGTTACTGGCTTCTTGGCCTCTGTTAACTACCATTTTCTTCTTTCTTTGCTGATCTGAATTTGAAAGACCCCAGGCGTAAAACACGGTAGCTCTCATACACTCCCTGACCGAGGCTATCTACCAGGTGCTCAGAGTTAAGGGGAGAAATGAAAGTATAGGCAGAATGGTAAATATTTAATTTATCGCATACAATATCGACCTGTTGCCTTTGTTCCTCTACCAGCAACACAAATGACAGATCCACCCAACTCAGTAGAGTAAAAATGACGCTCATATCACATGACGTCTATTGGTTCATCTTTGTCTTCCCGCCCGAGTGCTCAGTGCGGGCGCGCCGCGTTTGAATCGAAAGAATTTGGGGTAAGGGTGATCTTGCAAATACGGTCCGTGTGTGTCTAAGATTTTTTGAAGGGAAAATCATTATTTTCGGAGTGGAGGATATGTAATCCTTAGGGTAGCACTATACTGAAAACAAAACTTCTTTTTCAGACACAAGAGCTTCATCAACGGATACTAAGAAACTCCCACCCCTTGTTCCAACCTACTCCTTGCACCAAAGGCGAGCATCTTCCGACAATGCTCTAAGTGATCAGGGGTTACCAGCGACCGGTGATAGGGACAGTGACGTCAGTAACCTTAGCAACAACAAGGTACCCAGTCCCACAAGTCCAGTCAGCGAACTAACCTCGTGGCGATGCCAGCAGTGTCACAAGACCTTTACTCAGCGAGTGGCGTTACAAATGCACGTGTGTCCGTGTCAACCGACCAAGCCTTTCCAATGTGGACAGTGCAGTGAAACATTTACTAACTCCTCAGACCTGCGTGCGCATGTGGTTTCCCATACTACTGAGCGGCCATTCAAGTGTGGGTTCTGCTCACGCACATTTGTTGGCGCAACAACGCTGAACAACCACGTTCGAACACATATGGGGCAGAAACCCTTCAGCTGCGAGAAATGTGGTATGACATTTTCACAAGCCATGCACCTCTCCAAGCATGCGCGGGAATCGTGTGAATACGTGAATGGCACAACTAGAACGGATTCTGTAACGGCTCAAGCACTGCCAACTTAAAAGAGTGACGTTGGAATTTTTTGGCCAATTTTTAGTATGTAAGACAAATCAAATGGAAGTAAAAGCAAATGACATTGTTCTTAAGTAGCAAAACACCAGAGGGATAACAATTGAAAATTGGGAAACACTGAAAATTATTAGTGGCGTACTCCTTGATAAAAAAAAAAATTCGGAACAGAATGAGTCTTGTATTGCGACGCGATTTTGTAGCAAAAAGAGAGTTCACACGGCGCTATGATGACTCATAAAGTTTGACTCGCAAGAGTATGTTAAGCGTTAAATGCATGTGTATGTTTTTGTTGCTTTAGCTGTTCAGCTCTATTGTTTTAACTACCATTTTGTAGAGCCAAAACAACAAAGATTGAAAAACAAAAATTGTCACAAAATCCAGCCGGTGCGATTAGCTGTTGACCAGAAGGGTTTTGTAGGTGAATGGTAGCGCAGACATTTAATAGCAGTACCAACAAAGAGTGTAAATACAATGGATTTCGCCGCTTGCTGCTATCTATAACATAGAAAAATAGTTTCTAAATGATCTGTAAATATTGTCAATAAAGAAAGATATTTTTTCAACCGATTATTTATCGTGTGCAATACCAATACCTTGATTTAAGTTGCCTAAACAGGAGTTCAAGTCATTTCAACCGGATTAGAGCTTAGAACCAATATAAACCATTACCTCTCCAAGGGGTGTTTTAAAAGGCAATTGGGGTGACGACGGGGAATGGGGGGGAGAGGGTGGGGAGTAAGAAACTGATGAAATAACATGTTCTCTTAAGAAAACAGTATCTCAATATCATTAATTGTTATTAGAAGGCTAATATCCAAGTGATTGTGTTGGGCTTTCCCGCCAGATTTGATCGATTGATAATCTATCTATCACGCTTCTCTATTTTTAAAGGCTTCTTTTGTATGTTTGCGCCAATATTTTATTCGCATTTGCAAGTTCTTGAAAGAGTCCTTTGTCTCTTACATAATCCTTGTTGAAACGCCTTTGAAAAAAATTGTTATGGGCAGGTATTTTAAACAAACTAACTCAGTGTAGGTACCCTATACATCCATATCGATTCATCTCAAAACGCATAGCACGGGGCAACTAAAAATGTTGCATCGTAATTCGCAGAAATCAGCACTTTAAAGGTCCACAAACAATGAGAAGTTAAATTTTCATCTTCCGCGACATTTAAATAGTCTACATATCATGCAAATATGAACAATGTTTTCTTTATAGCTCCGTCTCTCAGAGATTAAAAGATTAAGGTATTTTTCTCTTTGTCAGCTATGTCTGCGGTAAATTTCTTACCATTGTTATTTAACCCATGAAGTTAGGATCAAGGTCTCCGCAGGGTTATGGTTTCTTTAAGTAAAAAAGTAATTTAAATTTCATTAATAACCACAAGACAGCTATTTCAAAAGGTCTGAGATATTGGTATTTAAATGAGAAATTTATGTTCATTATTATTGAAGCGTGACAAGAAAGCGAGCTTGTTTCCCGCCAAAACCCAACATAATGTTAATCAATTAACATTAATGAAACACACAACCTACATTTTAAAAACTGATGTTAATTTTATTCGGAAGAAATAGTAGGCTCTTAAAATTTTACTTCGAGAAAAGCGAAGTTTATATCTGATTTAATCCCAAGAACAGCAACATATGGTAATCGAAAATTCAGGACTTGGTTTTACAATTCAAAATTATTTTCTTTGATTAAAATAAAGTGGGCGTTGTGATATGCTGCGGCAAACAAAAGGTTCGAGTGTTTTGATTGTTCTTTTTGGTTTCTTTAGAAAGATTACGTAGGTTCATTTTAGAACGCTATTCAACGCAGATTAGCCAGTTCATTGCAATTCGAACTTACGTGAGCAAAACAATTGAACATTTCTTTCAGAAACCTAAAAAGACCTTTTAAAAAGTTCTTTTCTACTAGCATGTCAAAGAAAAAACGCCACATATTTAACATTTATTTGAAATTTGACTTAACAGTTTTCGTCGAGTAAAAGCTATCACGCGTGATGCACGTGCGTGCGTGGCTTCGCGCGTGGTGTAACACGTGTTGGAACAGGATTTTATGTTGTCTGGTGTGCCAGTTGAGCTGTATTTGGCATCATCTAACATCTAAGATTTGGACTATAACCTAAAATAACGTTTGATCTGAGAGAAGTTAACGTTCTGTTAAGAGGCAGTGGTATGTTAGTGTTCGTTAAAGATCTTAATAGTCTGCGTCATTAACTGCACATAAACAGGAGATTTCTAAACAGTAAGTAATCAAAGCAACAGATATTGTTAAATCATGAAAAGATAGCGTATCGCCAATAGTTGATCCAGAATGAAGATACATAAACAGAGAAGAAACGAGAGTATAAAATTTCAGAGCATACACAATTATAGGATATCATTATGCTAATGCATAATTATGTCAAACACACGGATTACTAGCTTTGGCGCGGAAACACGGGGAGCTCAGAACAACCTGGCGTCTTAGAATCTACCAAACCGGTTGAAAAAGGCAATTTCCCTGATCGATCTAAAATGTTACTGTAGCATTCACTGACTGTGATTGAATAAAAATTACCGTTCTTCCAACTCTATCTATCTTAAACCTCATTCAATATTCAATATACGGAGCAAATTATTACTTTAATTATCTCACTCAGAAATGGCGCGAATCTTGCCCAACACATGACATACATTACCAACAAAAGGCTTCCCTTAACGATTGTCTTTAAATCCCTATTATACTATAATTTGTGGTAATTCTTCGTAAACACAATAACCTTTAATTTAGTGTGAAAAAGGCGCCAAACTATTAACTGTATCTTTAAATACCAAAACACATATTACTGTTTTACTAAATACACCAGAGCGCCAATTTCTCTGCTTTGTGCGCAACCTTGTAAACAAGCCAACAAATATTCATCGAGTGTTTAAGGGACACCTTGATCAATCGAAGAGTTAAGTCAAGAGATAATGGAACTTGAATACGAGGTAAGGATATACCAGCCGCTAGCAGTGTTAAATAAACTGTCAGGATAAATGCAGGGCTACAAGTATTATAGACAAATACATTTCCCGGCGAATTAGGGCGAATCTACGTTGCTGAAACAAGAGATGAATTTTCTGCAATCAAAGCTTAGCTTATGTTCCAGGTAGGATAAATTCGGGTATTGTGCAGAGTATTGCAGTCTGTACCACTCTGTAGTGATATTCGAGGGAACTTCTGGGTCACACATCACTGCTTAAAGATATTCGTTCCATGGTGGAGGCAAACCTTGATCTAATTTTCATGTCAAAAATGTCATTTTTTATTATTGTAATTTTTGTCTCCTTTTTCTCGTATGCACGCAAACTATGTGAGATATGAAGACTGCCAACATTCTAGATCGACTTAAAATTGTTCACTAAGGAAATTATTCAGAATTTAAACGAAGATTGGTAAAGGAACAATGCAATCAACAATAAACAAGTTAACTTAGGATTTTATAGCCGGAGATCTCTTTATAATATATCTCTATGTCAGTACCAACGGTAGGTTTGTCAATAAGGCAAAATCATAGCATGTTCTGAGTGAAGCTAAGTGAATAAATACTGTTATCTTTCCCGCAGAAACTTAACCTTGCTGCAGATCATTTTTATCATCACGTTTCTCAGCCTGCCGCAAAGAAACCACGGTTTCAGAAACCGCTTGATAGTCCCAGTCTCTCTCAATGTACCTCAACTGAGGAGCACTTCACCTTTAAAGATCTACAAAGATGCTTATTCAGCAATAGTGAAATCCAGCCAGTCAGCATCAAACAGTCAGTGGTAACGCAACGAAACGAATGCTTCTGTGAGTACCGTCACAAAAGTTGATCGCCTTGCAGCAAAGATAGTTTGACAGCTCCTAGTTTTCGACGCACACTAGTATCACGCACTAAGGCCGGCTAACGCTCGAAAAGTCAGTTGCACAAATTTAGATATGGTGGTTGATTTACAATCCAAACTGATTACAGTGCTTTCACTTGCTGGCCGATCCAGTATGAACACAACAATTACGTTATATGATTTTGAACGAACAGGAAGAATTATCAGTTAATAGTTAACAAAACAAAAGTAAATCTCGAAACCTCAAGTGACGATGTTTTAGTTTTTACTGCAACAAAACGAACTGAAAACTTTTCAGTTACTGATCTTTGTACTGCCTTTCGTTTACGTGTCAGGGTGTGACGCAAGTTTAACAGACACGAACTTTCAGTGTCCGAACCATAAACATGAAAACACCGCCAATCAGTTACCACTCGCTCTCAGATCACTTCCACCGGAAGTGGAATTGTGTGCATCCAGCATTCCTGGAACGGGATTCGGTATTTGCGCCAAGCGAGCGTTTCCTGTTGGCGCGTGGATTGGGCCTTACGAAGGAACATTTGTGAAGCCTGAGGAGCTGTCTTCTGTTAAAGATACAACATACATGTGGGAGGTAAGTGTGGTACATCGTCAGCCGTATGAGTTTGTCGTACGCAGACAGCTTTGATCTTACCACACATCGAATGGTAGTCAAAACTCGAAGCAAAAACATGCAACTGACGCCAAATGTAAGGAACATGCATAAGATAATTAATTCACGACTTTTAACTGTGCTTCTCATAGGTACGTTGTTAACCATAAATGTATGAATTCCTTCATCCAGCCAAATTTTGCTCGTTAGAGGCTAACAATGGTCAATTGGACTGATTTATGGCGAAAAAGAAAGTTTTCAGGGAGAAAATTTGTGCTTTTCGCTAGGACACACGACACGTTTTCTGACCAATAAGAAAGCACAAGAAGCGTAAAACCAAAAACGCGCAATGAGGATTTCAGTTGTACAAACAAATATTATTTGGAGGTTTGCGACAGAAACCAAGCAGGCATCTTTTTATTATACCACCAGATTTTCAAGGAAGGCAAATTGGCCGGATACATTGACGGAAGCAACGAAAATGTCTCAAGCTGGATGCGTTTCATCCGCTGTGCTCGCCACAAAGCTGAACAAAACTTGTTTGCCTTCCAGTACCTTGGAAAAGTATTCTACCGCTCTTTCAAGGCCATCCTGCCTGGACAGGAAATGCTGGTTTGGTACGATGAAAAATATCCCCAATACCTTGGCATTCCATCAGCTATTTTTGACATGGGAGCTGTGATACCGAGTGGTAGGTTATCTGTTATCAGACTAGATACTTCCTGATAGCTTGATAGAGCTGTGGCAATATTTTTATCCACAGCTAAAATGTAACACAGGATGTCTAGCCAGCCTTCAATCCTGGCCATATATTGTCATGCTGTAATCATGAAAGATACTCTCACATTGCCCCTCTCCGTCATCAGGTGTAAAAATGGCTAGCAATCGGAAATATTAGAGAAACCTGACAAATGTCTCGGGTTAACCAGAAAGGCTAGTATTCCTTGTTGAGGAGTAACTGTGGTCGCCCATTTGTCCATCAGTGTTTGTGACAGAATGATCACTTGCTAATTGCTGTGTTCCGTTTTTTTCTCGGCAGGTGCCAGTTCAAAGCCTGATGAAGTGATAGTTGTCTCTCCACGTAAGGCAAGCCAAACATCGTTCTTTCCCAGTCCTCCTCCTTCGCCTGTTTCCAATCCCAGCAGCAGTTCTTTTACGGTTACGTCCGCGCCCATAAATGAAAAACGTACCCCTCCATATCAACTTTGTGACGAGAAACTACTTTTTTACCAGGAGCATGGAGTAGTGGAACCTGTGTCTTACACCACCTCCATTCCCAAGCAGTGGACCAGTCCGCTGGATCAGAATAACGGTGATCCACTGAGAGATCCACAACAAAGCGAACATGAAACGTCTCCGTTACGAAGTGGAGACCTTAATGAAAACGCAACGCTCCCGATGAACTCAGTTTTTAACAGTACTTCTGAGCAATGCTCATCATGGACATCAAGTCAAAGTCCGCTAAACCCAGCGTTACTTCAAACCTCGACGGTTCAACAGAAACCTTTTCAGTGTGGCCACTGCCCGGCTTCTTTCACAAATGTCAATCAATTGCGCACGCATTCTGCCATTCATGTGAGCAACAAACCATTCAAATGCGGTTACTGCTCGCGTTTTTTCAACGGGGCGACGACTTTAAACAACCACATTCGATCACATGTTGGAGGTCGACAATTTGCGTCTTCTCTAAGATGACATAGTAGAACGCAGAACAAAAATCAGTCCAGTGTGTGTATACTTTGTCGACTAAGAAGATTGCCCCATTAAACGATAAACCTCCACACTATAAACACATGATAAGAAGTAAAGTAGCGAGAAGGCAAGGGCAAGGGCATTCTGTTTAACTGAACAATGTAGTTAAAATCAACGGACGTTAGAATTCTCAAACTGTTCGTTGAAAAAAAACAATATGTTCATATTTAATTGACTAACTCGGTGGATAATATTGCCAGTGATTTGTACTGATCCAATGCACACGTGGCAATTTTCCATTAGAGATGTATCACGTGACCAATTTTGACTTAGGCACCAGCTAGTGGCAGATTGAGACAACTAGAATATTATAATACACATAGAATATTCCAATTTATAGCATAGTAAAGTTCGTAATACAAGGAGATGTAAATCTGGTATAGTACACTTCACAGAGATTAAAGATTCAGAAGATTCCAGTGCCTGGAGGAAGACTTTATGACTCAGTCTGTCTAGACAGAAAAAGTCGTAACAATAGCTTTCTTGAGTGTAAATAGTTTGAACGTCGATAGTTGGAAGCTAAGCAAAGCAGACAAAGCAACCACACTAAAATAAAGATAAAGTTTGCTCGAATTGCAATGCTGAGGTCTTGTAATTAAAAACAGATAACATGCTATAGTGTGTTGAATTTGGTTTCAGTGGGTTCCCTGGAGGAATTAACTGGCTGGCCTTCATATATCCGCCCGCTGATCCGAGAGGAGATTGACCGCTGTATAGAGGCTATTATTCACTTCCTCCCCTTCCTTTTGATAAGTTTGGGAAACCATGCAATTAGGGCACTTGAAAACAACTGACCACAAATATGACTTTAGTCATGCGCATTACCTCTGCACTACACCTTTAAAACAGAGACTAAAGGAATACAGCGCACGCTTTCCACATGAGGAATTCTGCGACATATGTTGCTATATATTTCTCATATTAGTACTTAATCCAGGTTTCCCAACCACAAATACCAAGTTCAAAGCTTCAAGAAGAAAATATTGAGCACTTGGGTTTCATCATAAATCTGTTGACTTCATAACAGACATAACAATCATTCTGGTATCTAGGGACCCCCCTTTGGGACCACATTCATCTAGGCACTGTTGTTATTTCATTCCCTTTTGTTGTTATTAAGAGGTGGTCGAAAAGATGCAGGCTTTTTAATCTTTAGTTGTTCAAATAACCTTACGGAACCCGAGAGTCAGACCCAGTAAGCAAGATACATCAACCTTGAAATTGACAACTTCTAGAAGGCTTGTTATTAATCAAACTGTCATGTGCATGAGAATAATCTTCATACATTAAGGAGAAAGGATAGCTTTCGTACAATGAGTCGAGCTAGAGGTTTTTCAAACAATGCACAGATCGCAGATGATGTCATTTAAATGTCAATCAAATGTTGACATCTCTCCTTAGCCATTATCATGATTGGTAACTCCATGCTCATCCTCCCGTGAACACTTGAAGCTGAGAGTTTCCTTCACGCAAACGAGCAGTCTACCATATTAAGTATGTAAGAAGCCTGTCAAAAAGTGCAAATAAATGGACACTAAGTGACACCAACGGTAAAATCCTTTTGGACTTGGAAGAACGCTTCGACTTTATGAAAGAACAAACAGCTAAGGTAATGTACAAGGAATTTGTCGATGAAATCCAAATATGGGTGTTGATAGCTGATGCAGATAACTGTCTTTTGAAAGGTTTGGTGTGCAAAAAATACTTAGCAAAAACCGGCAAAGAAAACAAGCGTGATTGCGTCAGGCCAGGGTGCTTGTTTTACTAAGAGTGTGTTGGTTTCAGATGTTAGCAAATATTTCTGCTTTGACAGGGAACCCGGCATGGTTTTTGTTTATTATCTGGGTCATTTTAAGAATATTAGCAAATTTTTGAACAAGAGTACGATGATAAAAACTGATTAACTAAGGTTATGAACAGCCATTACTTTTCTTTAGTCAATTCAAAAACACCAGTTTCTATCCATGATGAATTTCCATTTTAAACGATCAGAACTTCTTTGATTTAGCTCATTTGGATTCATTAACATGGAAATTCTCACGCCAAATTTGCATTTCTTTATTTGAAAGATACGCTTGGTTAATTAAAGCAACACCAAGTTCACCCAAACAGTTCACAAGTATTGCGACAAAGAAGCTTTCAAACTTCACTGAAGTGGATAGCTCAATAGAGTGCAACAATGAAATGCTTTTAATTGCCCATGCAAGACATGCAGACATCTGAAATAAAACGCTCTGTAAATGAGAGCAGCTGGGGTTATTCGTTCATGTGTACAACAATAAAAATATGCAAACGAAGCTATTAACGAGGATAAAACATAACTAGCCGGCCTCTAATGGAAGTTTCCGGGCGCTCTGAGGATCGCAACAAGCTAAAAACATCCTTCATACGCGAAAACAATACTAACGAACTCTTAAAAGTTAAAAAAAACTCTTGACCGGTAACTAATTTTCATTATTTAGGTCATGGTTTGTCGCATAGTTTCAAACGGTTTCTTATTTAAATTACGTCACTATTTCATCAAAGTCGTGAAGTCTGAACATTTCGACGACGTAATGAGCTGTTTGCGACGGCGGTTCTGTTACCAACTATCTCCTTTCCTCGTAAATATTGATTGAGTTAGCTTCGTTGTTGTCTCTTACCAGATAGTGCGCAGTTAATTAAAGTCCATTCGTACTTAACAGGTCAACGAAATAACTCTTGTTGACATGGTAATGTTGGGATTGTTTCGCTTGATTCTAAGGAAATCGATCGACTATAGTTTATCTTCATTACAGCTGTATGTTTCAAACACTGCTCTCTAAATTTCAGATGAGTAACGCAGGAATTTCAAGAGCAAAGACAACTGGGGAACACACATTTGTCAGTTCACGGGCTAGAACGCTTCAACCACAAGCAAATCGACCAATGCTGTGCACAACAGATGATCTTCACCGATGTCTGTACAAGCGCGATGAAGTAATCGTTGTGAGCAAGGAAGATTTTAGAACTTCCCTTCAACACAAAGAAGAAGTCCACAGCTACTGTAAGTCACAGTTCATGTGAAAAGTGCGTAAGAATTAACGAACTAACAACGTAATCCTGTTCACGAGTTCGCATAGGGAAGCGCCGGAATGGCGTTTTGACTCGCAAACTAGGCCATAAAGTTTTTATCTACTTTCATATTAGATCATTACTTATGTGAAATATTCATTAGTTTACTGAGAGAGTAAGACAATAAGCTATTCATTAAGTGAGCAAACACCAAATACAATTTAAATTGTTATTCAGTGATACATTTTGATACACTCCTGGTTACTTGAACATCAGTTCTTCTTTGATAAAAGCTGACTAAACCAACTCCTATTTTATAAGCAAGTGAAGAAAACCATTATTAGGGTTTAAGACGGATAGACCATAAAACCACACAGCCTAAAATTGTGCCAAAAATAGTCTTTTAGTTGGTGTCGTTTATCGCTAACAACAAGCTTTGGTTGACGGCATCATTTTCACTACGTCATAAGGAAATAAAGATTCTTTTGTAAATCAAAGCAATATAATTTCATTACGTAAGAAATCCAAGTTGTAACTACAAGGAACTTAAATATCGTCGATAGATAATCACGTTTTGAGTCCAACTTTCATCAAAAGGACCTAACATCTACGTTTGTTCTAACCTGGATCAGACTCGATTGCCCATTGACTTCAGTGGTGTGTGAATGGGACCTGAAAGAGAGTCAAAGAGAAACCATAAGAGCGAATTTAATCAGATCTTCCTCCTGATGGAAATCTCCTTAGAACATTTCACACTGTACATGTTTTCATTCGAAATATTAGGAGGCTTAGACCAGAAGTTCAGAATCTAAAGGAACAAATGAGCAGTTCAAAACCTTTGCCACAAATGCCTTCAAACATCATTGTATGAATCATTAAAACACTCTCAGTCTTAATTCGAGGATTTCAGAGGTTATTCTCCAAAGCTATGGCTAGTCTCTCGTAATTTTAATTTGGTCCCCATTTTTATGAACTTCCAGCTCTGAGCAAGAAGATAATAATGTCGCTCTCTTATTTCACTAGGGCGCTAGTTTTTAAGGTTGACCAAAACACTAAGGTTTACCAGCCCTAAGATTTGCTACTAAGCAAGAACTCTAGGGTATTGATCAGTCTTTATAATAATAATTCTAGTATAGTAAACCGGTTTATTTTCCAGCTGCACTCATTAGAGAGTACGAATTAAGGTCTAGTACAGCAAAACAGTCCATAATCTAACTGCACTCGCAACAGAGTGCAAATTCAGGTCTGAGCAAACTAGAAACAATTTTGGAGACAAACGTTTAAACCTAGTTTAGCCACGTGAAAAAAAATTATTCCTGAAACAATTTTTTCGCCTCCTTTTTCCGTCTCGGAAACTAGAAAAGTATTTTTCCCCATTGGCCATGGAAAATGTTTGCTTCACAGGCACAAATTTTGCTTACGATGCATATCAATTTTTTTTTGTAAGAAACGAATACAATATCGCACGGTATTTAGTCTAATTAATCACCAACCATGTTCCGATAATGTATTGGCTTCACTGAGTCTCGGCCATCACGATGGCTTTATTTATATGGAACATGAGTGCGGCGAGTGTCGTTTAGTTCCGTTGATTCATTGATTATCTATGAAATTTTGACTGCCGGGTATCTAGTTTTCTTTTTTAAACAGTGTAGTATGCCAAGGCTGGGAGAATTCGTTCACTACAAAACCAAACTACAACCATTTAGAATCGTCTGGCATTTCTAAACAAATATCGAATACACTCAGAGAATTTCAACTGTAATTTCTGTAGATATTAAACTTATTATATGAGATTTGACTCTGGAGTCAGAGTACAAATATTTTCTAAGTTAGTGTCGGAACATCGAGATTTTATAGCACGGTGCCCAAGTTCGAAAATCCCCTCGAATAAAAAGCCAAAATAATACTTGAAAACGCTTAACATTTCTAAACAAAGAGGTACTATTCTAATTAAGAATTGAATGAGATATTCCGTGGAAATTATATCAGAATTACAGGCTGCCGGGTATCTAGTTTCTTTGAAAACACTTCCCGGCTGCGGGGTATCTAAACACAAAAGCGACTGAACTGAATGAAGACGAAAAGAAATGTAAAAAAAATTCGGTATAAAATAAGCTTAGCTCTTCAGTGAAGTTTGTTACCTTACATTTGGGTTTTGTTCTTGAACACACCAATGAACTTCACCGATTCCTTCTGAACAACACAATCTGCGGTCATTATGACGGGAGCCGCGTAAACAAGTACTTCATTTGACTTCATTTGCACAAGACGTATAATTTTCACTGGCAGCAATACTATTACTTCAGGTCTTTCCGTGAACCTTTCTAGTTTGTTACACTTTTCCAGAATATAGACGACTTGGGAGGTCATTATGCGCAGAATATTTGGAAAGAAAACTCTATCTCGCTCGCTTTCCACTAGCATGTTTCACTCAACTCAAAAAGTGAACACCGCACCGACCACCGCGCCACAAATTTTGCCGCATTTTCATACCATCACTTCGTTTAAAACAAACTGAAATGTCCACATCGTCCAGTCGATTGAAAAAATTCAATAAAACAATTAGTCCATTCGCCCTTGTTGGATACAGGTTATTTATAACCCTCTTAGATCTTTGTGNAACAACAAAACAACTGACTGCGGTCGGGCTACAAAGCCGGAAAAGATAATTAGGTTGTTTTGATTCCTTTTGTTTGGTCTTTGCAGTTTTCGCCTATCTCTTGTCAAATTTCTCATGTGTAAACTCGAATTCTAACTCGGTCTTCAACTCAAAGTCCAATTCGAACTCAAACTCGAATCCAAACTCGAGGGTTTATTTCTCCCCGCAAAAATACTGTACCGCTACACCACACACACTATTACATGTGTAAAAAATTAGTAGCCAAATTAAAACAATTGGCGTTGCTCTGCTATCATGTATTTAAAAGCTTTTACTTGACAGTAAAATAAGAAACACACAATGACAAATATGGTGGTGGAATTTATACAAAACAGCTTTCAAGTTATCACTAAAGTACCTTAGAAAACAGCTCAGACACACATAAAATTTTTTTAGTTACAATATTCACTGTTTGATAATTGATGACAAAGTAGAAAAATCAAGTTGTACCGAGGTTAAAAACGTTTCAATCTATCTGATATAATAATCGGGAATGGTGGGCAACCAGCTGTCGTTAAATATCGTAGAGTACTTTATGGAGCAAGGTCTGAATGGGTTAACCAGAAAAAGACCAAAGTTTACCGGCACTGAAAACTAACAAATGATGCGAAATATTCCATGTTGCCATGTGTCTGTTCAGTAATAGATCACAGGTGACGTCAAACGTGGTAGGAACATAAAAGCAGCACACGAGGCGATCGGTAACCGAGTGTATCACTGATGTTCTACCACATTTTGACGTCTTTTGTGATCTGTCACTGAAAAGACGCACGGCAACATGGAATCTATTTGTTTTATATATCTATATGACGTGATCTATGCGTCTGTCCTCCAATAGATCATAAGTAAGAACCAATCATAATACGAGAACAATTCGATATATCATATAATAAGTGTCTCGACTTCAGCATTCTTCTTACGGCAACATGGAATCTATTTGTTAAACTGGCGACTGGAAACAATCAAAATTGCCAAATATAAAATTAAACGTCTGAAATTCCTAATGACAAGCTAAAACATCTGTTCCTCTGAAATCTCCTAGATCCTCTCGTCCCCAGGGCCCGCGCGTTTTCGGTCAACGGCGCTCTGGATCAACCGGAATCAGAAAATCCTGATTCCGGTTCGATTTTGCGCATGCGTTTGATTTCAATAATGGTTTCTGAACATACCTGATCATAATTAACTTTACAAACATCCCAGGTTATTTGAACGGCAGCCAAGTGAAAGCTGTATAATTAAAGCAGGAACGGAAACTGACATTAATTACATTGTTTTTGGACGATCTTTGGACATTTAAAACAATAACTGTGCAAAAATTTACCCTCTCTCTCCCCCGCTAGGGTGCAAAGGATGCCGCCAAGAGCGCACTGAGCAGTGTCAATTGCACGGTCCTCATCAAACATTTAAACTAACAAGGACGGTAAACAACAATAACAACATAAACAACAGCGCCGTGGGATTACCAAGCGCAGTGGAGTCGTTTCCAAATGAAGTGGGCCTGTGTATATCAGGTATTCCTGGGGTGGGGTACGGTGTTTGCGCTAATCAGACTATTCCACTGGGCACGTGGATTGGACCATATGAGGGGGAACTGGTACGACCTGAAGAGGTGCTGTCTGGAACAGATACCTCGTACATGTGGGAGGTAAATTATTTTTATTTCGACTGTTTTCATTCTTTCACGGTTCAATAGCAAAAATCTTTTCAGATCGTAAATTACAGAGAAGTATCTTTTTTCAGAACCTTTGTTTTCAGAGTCCTAAGCTGTCTAATACTGTTAAATTATAAGTTCAAAAGTATCTCTCATATATTTCTTGTATTAATAGTATTTTTTGTCGATTGTAAGTGGGCAAAGTCTGTACACGAGCCAAGTGGCCCATCAGCCCGGCGCTTTTCTCCGGTTTCAGTAGCATGAAGCGACCAAGAGTATTTCTACTCCCCCCTTGATGGGATGCTAGTACATCACATGGTTACCCCAGCATTAAATTCAACGGTACCCATTTATACACCTGGGGGGAGATAGAGGTACTGTGAGAGTAAAGTGTTTCGCCTGAGAACAAAACACAATGTCCCCGGCCACGGTTCGAACCCGGACCGCTCGATCCAGAGACGAGCGCACTAACCATGAGGCAACCGCACCTCCCACATTGTCGCACGGTTTACCTACCATCAGAAACGCAAACTAGATATCTCACATATCGACCCATTGGTCAGGTGTATTATTTGAGTATCGCTGGTCAACGAAATTTTGGCGAAAATTTCAGTCAAACCGACTATCTCCTGTTGGTCAATAAAAATTGTTGAATTTTTCTTGTTTTACAGATATTTCATGAAGGACAGTTACTTTACTACATTGATGGACGCGATGAAAACAAATCAAGTTGGATGAGATACATTCGCTGCGCACGACACAGAGGCGAACAAAACATGTTTGCATTCCAGTATTGCGGTCACATCTACTACCGAGCCTTCCAGGACATCCCCGCCACGACAGAACTGCTGGTTTGGTATGACGATAAGTACCCGCAGTATATGGGCATCCCGCTGGAAATATGCGAAACGTCCCCCCACAACCCTGTTGGTAAGATATGGTTCCGAGGGAGCTAGTCATTTGTTTTACTGATAAAGATTGCTCGATAGCTGCATTTTCCATTTTTATACTTTATTTTCTTGTACTTGACATTTATTGTCCATGCCAATAAATCAGTTTCAATGCCTAGCAATCACATTAGGCCTACGCAATTAAGCGTGGAAAAAGTACTTTAGCAAAACGTTGTAATTTCTAATTCTGGGGTGAAATAAGAGTTTGTATTGTTGTTGTTGCAAGTGCCGCATGAGACAAGCACAAATATTCCACGGTTTTGTGCAGTAGAAAACTGGTTTAACAGGTCACAGTACTCGTTTTGCTCTTGTCTTGGTGCTTCTAACTGCGCGCAACGCAGATAAAGGCTAAACACGACCTCGTAAGTCACCAAGCCAGCATAATTTAATGAAGGTAATAAGTGACAGTCACTTTGTGATTAATTCACTTATTTTTCTCGTTCTTAATACAGATCCGAGACAGCACCCTGAAATGGTAGTCGTTGTACCCCACGACACTTCTAACCCAGGGACCTCTTATTCACACCTGCCTTCGTCCAGGCCCCTGGTAGATAATCTACAATCTTTACCCAGCCCTCGCTCGACACAAGTCAGGCTCTCGCCATCATCACGCGATCACTTACGTGATCGGTCACTCAATGCGTCGCATATCATGCGAAACTTGACTCGAACTGTTTATCAAGGAAGTGAAACTTTGCGTGCAACTTTACCAACAGAGGGTCACAAACGTGCGCGCCACGCTTCATGGGTGAACGATGGAGCACCTTTACAATTCAGTGCGCCAGTGACTGATAATTCTGTTTCTTTTTCGGAAGATCTCCGCTTCACACGTGAAAACCAAGCTGTATCTTTTGGACAAAGAAGTGGCATTACGCGTAACACGCAGACGAATGGTCATCATGACGTCACATCTTCTAAGGAACTGCATGCTACGAACACAATGGTTCCGCTGACAACAGCTGAAAAGAGGCAGTCAAGATCTGGAGATGAAGAACGTAATAGTTCAGATGGTTCGGATGCAAACTGTGGACAGTGCGGCAGGTCATTCGCCCAGCGCTCAGTTCTTCAGATTCATGTCTGTCCCAACAGGCCGCACAAACCCTATCACTGTGGTCACTGTAATCAGTCCTTTGACAATCCAAACGAGCTGCGCACGCATGCTGTCATTCACGTTGGCGAGAAACCATTCAAGTGCGGCTATTGTGATCGATCATTCGCGGGAGCAACGACTCTTCACAACCACGTGCGCACGCACACTGGCGAAAAACCATTTACATGCGAGAGATGCGGAAAGAATTTTACCCAGGCCTCACAGCTACATAAGCACGAGGGACTACCGGGAGACTGTGTTCCATACGAAGGCCTGCCTGAGTAGAAGGTCTAAGACATTCGGACTGAAGAGAAAAACCTCAATAAACCGACAACCAAAGAACAATGCGAACCTGCCAGCTAGAGCCAGTCATACAGGAAGCCGATTTGAAGTCGATTTTAATGACAAGGGACTTGTCTCTATAGAAATTTATATAGTTAAAAGTTTTAAAAGAGAGCACCGATGCTTTGGCTTTTATTTAAGCTTTGCTTAGCGATAAGATGTGTGTGAACAACGATAAACGATACCTAACAATATAAATACAACCCAAGCATTTCAATGTTATCTATTCTACTTGTGTTAAATTCTCCAGCCTTAATAAATGCCACTATGATTATTACATAAGAAATACAAATTGTCCAGGTCTGGCATGATTTACAATTAGCATACGCCTGGTGGCTTAGAGGAGGGTACTCGAGAGTAAACTAACAGGGAGGTACAAGGGAGAACTTTGTGAGTATGGGACTGGCAATTTTTAAAAGTTTTGTATTTTCTGGAACAAAGTTTTGTCGGTATTTTTGGTGCATGACACTTAAAATGTTAAACGGGGTGTTCGCCAGGGCGACCCACTCTCGCCATCTCTTTTCATAATAGTACTCGAATTATGACACTTAATATTTTGTTTTTAGGTTTAGTTTAACATTAACGTCCTTTATGAAGTTATTTATGATGGTTCTGATGAGGTAGTTCAATTAAAAAGTTGACAGGGGTTTCGCTTTATATATATATTTTGCGTATTTGAAATCACGGTTGCATTCCCTTGTTCAAATTTTAAAACAATTAGATTACGAGCTCGAGATTTCTATCGCGTGATGGTTGACGAGGGCGCAGCCCGAGTCAACTATCATGCATAGAAATCGAGAGCGAATAATCTAATTGTTTTAGTATAAATCTATTAGTCGTTCAAAACTTTATCTAAATCCTCTTCACAGACACTTCGAAAACGCAAAGAAGCAGCCCTCAGTTTGTTAACAAGCGTTCCCTGCTACGCTACTCGCTATCTACAACAGCATAGTTAGTGAGTAGCGTAGCCAATAAGAGAACGCCATCCGTGATAGAACGCTAGTAGATTTATACTAATTCCTATTAGAAGAATTTTACTAGTATACTAATGCAAATGCTGCATTCTGATTGGCTGAGCTACTCGTACACTATCAGTCATTAGAGTGCAGTAGCTGTTGGTCGCCTACGAAATGGCGACGTTTTTTCGTTTTTCCGAAATTTTGGAGGACCATTTTGATGCAAAAGGATAATTAAATTCCTGAGAAGACTAACAGAAGGACATTAACAATGACGGTGGTACACTAGACCCAGGCTTTCTTAGGAGATGTTGCTCTTTTACGGCAATAGGGCGATCGAGGCTGACGTCATCGTTTACATTTATCCACATAAGAATACAATTCTGGGTAGACTGAGAAGGCGTCATGCCAGTTACAACTTGTCTCCAAACATTTGAAGAGCTTGAGAAACTTAGTAACATGCCGACGAATTTTTTAGCTTTTAGGGCGTAATATTTTAGGACACATTACCCATACATTGTAAAATTTTGGGTTTTTAAACACAAAAAGTATTCAATGCATCGGGCTTGAATTCCTCGGGACAGTTACTTGTGCCATAACCTTTCAATAAGGTTTTACTTAGCCATACGCTTGCCTACGATATCTTTTCAGCTAGGCTAAGACAGATAACTGGACCATAAAAAAAAAATAATAATAAATAATAAACACGGCACTATTTGGCATCCGATCTGTTACACGAAAACAGATTGAGCCAGAATTTGCTTTATATCATTTAAAGGAATTTAAACTGCATTCCGCAAAAACATTGTACTTGATGTTCATCAATAGTGAGGCCTTGTTAGGGGAGGTATGTATGTCTCTCTTCTGAATTTGAAAGAATATCGTGTTGGAACTTCGTCATTCTGACTACACTATCACGAGACATTCACTGTGAATAGTTTATTGAGGATGTGTCAGTCAGTCATCTGATGCAGATGAATTAGATCTGACCAGATGATCAGTATCCTTGCAAATTACAACTATTGGTTCGATCAATTAGAACCTGTGCTACCCAGATACGGAAAACCACTAAAAACCACCCTTTAGATAAAAAAAAATACGTGGAAAACGGCGTATTCCTCATCTAACTAGACCCCGAGGAAAGGGTACAAAATCAACAAGCTAGAACATTTGACAATTATACATATAAGCTGTTAAAACAAGAGCTTAAAAAAAAAGGAGACAAACACGAAGACTGACTAACCTAGAATGACCTAAATCTCCCGCCAAAAGCCTCTAAACGTCCCATGACACCCCACGAGCCTCTCTATCCCCTGAATCGTCAGAAATTACATTTTCCGTTTCAAAGACCGACCTTTTTAATTTTAATAAGGCATTTTAATAAGGCAAGTGTTCAAACATCGACTTATCAGTGAAACTTTCTCCATTGACAGAAAGTTTTTAACAGCTAAAAAAAATTCTCGACCGACGAAAATATCTCAAACCATTAAAATTTCCTAACCGATTTAAAAAGGGCGTGACGTAGATTTAAGTTAAAGGTGAAGACGTTTCCCAATGAACTAAGGAAGTTATTATTTTTTAATTTCTCGATCGGCAAGAAACGACGTGACTAACCTCGAATCACAGAGCATGAGTTTCTTTTAAAGACATTGAATGCTTTTAATAAGGCAAAATTAATAAACCGACGTTACTAGCTTAGGGAAACAGATCATCCGTTTCTCATATTGAAATAAATACCGCTGATCTACCACAGCCTGTGGCAGATCAGCAACAAATGTCAGTGAAATTTCAGTGAAATTTGTTGCTCGCTGGCCTTTCTTTGCAGTTCCAATTCCCCTAAAACGAATAAGGTTCTCGTTGAATCTTGTCCTTCAGTAGCATTTTAAAAAATTTATTTAAGTGGCAACCTTTTTAATAAAATACTATTAGCAGGAGAAAGCAATGGATGCTGTTAACTGATTCGTATTCTGGTATTCTTCTTTTCATAGCCTAAAAATAGGCTGCGCACGTTTTAGAGAGATTACCTACCAGTACACCAGTTTTCTGTCAAAATGTTCTCATCATCATCACAGTTCCTAGCTCGCCTCTGGGAGAATACGGCCATTGAACTTGTCTCCCCCAATCTGCTCTGTCTCTTGCAACAGTGACAGCTTCATTCCAAGTGGTAAAACCCATCTTCTGCCTCTCTTCCTCTACAGTTCTCCTCCATGTTTCCTTAATTTGGTCGACGTCAAAATGTTTTAGAAACTGAAAACAGGGCGGAAGTTTTCCTGGTTTTCTCTTTTCTTTCCTTTATTGCGGTAAGAGTCAAGCGTCTTGTCATTCTAGTTATTAAATTTTCTTCATGTCGCCCTTCAAGGCCAAATCGCTAGCCAGAATTAACCCTAATAGAGCGTCATTACTGTAAACTGGTTCAACTGGTTCAAACATAAGGGGTGCACATTTGACGCTCGAGGTGGGTGGGTTGGTGATTTGGTATAGGCAAGACCCTTCCATGCGCTAAGAATTCTTCTTCTCGGGACGTCTGCCTACAGAATAATTTTTTCTCCGTGTAACATTTTTCTTTCCGTCTCTCTGAACGTGCGTGAAATTTTGTTTTTGGTGCAAGTATGCTAGCAGGAATTTTTTTTTTTTCAAAATCACCTACCCCCCTCCCGCTTCGCGCCCCCACCCCTCCCCCCTATTTCCTACAAAAGTCATATGGTCCATCTCTAAGGATATAAGAAAAAGTACAAAACAAATCTTATGAAACTGGTCTTTCGGAACATTATTATACAACGTGGCGCCAAAGACCAGAACAAAACAACGCTTGAAAACGCTTATTTGCTGAGAAACACTACAGCCATCATTTTCGCATGCGCAGCCCGCATGTTATGTGAATAAACAGCCTGGTTCCCAGCACGTTTTCTTTAGACATTGGGAAGGGCGCAAAATGACGACAGTGTTTTTGCTATCCACACTAATATACGACGGGACTCCGTTTTCAAATGTTCTTAAATGTAGCGTTTTCGATGAACTTGAGCTATGATCGTTTTCGATCGTTATCGTGTGGACGCTCGGAAAAAACAAATCAAAACTAAAGCTTGCGTTTTCAAACGAAACACTGGGTCTAAGAACACAAGATCTACATAATCAAGCGGCTGCAGTCACCTACGACAGGTACGATATAAAACTGTCCCAGAAAAGTTATTTCCACAAACAACAGTTACATTCGCTTAATTGACCGAAACCGAAAACAACATGTGCCAAAGTAAACGAAAGACAGGAAATGGATATCACCGGAAACGGATGTAAACGGAAACGGAAACCAGTAAAGATGCAAATCCGTTTCCGCTGTGTCCGACTCAAGTGCTGCGGAAGTTTAGAGAGGTCTGTGAAGAGGGGGTGCAGTTTTATTGTTCAGAAAAACGAAATAACACGTTTTTCTATGTTCCTGTTTGAATCATTGAGCAAACCAACAAGAAAAAAGCCGTCGTTCTTGAAGAGTCATATAAATAGATCATTGCAACATTTCCACATTAGTTTTCGTTTGACGTAGTTACAGGTGCAATGTCTGAAGAAGATGGCAGTTTTAGATGAAATTTCTTGTACCAACAGTGAAAAAACCACGGACAACTTGGAAAATTCTTTTCGAATTCGATTTTGCCTCCAGCATGGCACGATTACAGCCATCATTATGCAGGCAGCCCGGTTTATTTTAAGATTTCTTTGAAAGGCCGGATGGCACGCAACATTAACTCCCACCTCGTGTCCATTCTTGTGCTAATCCGTTAAGATTAATTACGAAGGCTGTTACGAAATCTTGAGGACTGTTTAAAAGGGTACATATATTAGAATATGCAAATAACCAAATACTTTCATTCAGTCGGCTTTTCCATTGAGTTGTTTGTGTTGAACTAATCAAAGAAATCACTGAACTGTATTGAACTGAGATGAAATAAGTCTTAATAATGTGGTTAACAAAAGCGATTTTTTTCAGTTCAATCGTTCTTTCCTTTTGCTCAAAAAGCTAACAACGAGTTCGGTTCAGGCTGGAAGAACGCAAGAAACGGCAAAATAAAGCCAGTTTGAGGCACGAGTAATAACAGATGAACGATTATTTTGAAATCAATGAAACATAACGGGTATTTAAGTAAAAAGGCGGTACCAGAGTCTATCGGAATGCATCCCCCAAGGAAGTTAAATCAAAGAATTACACAGCATGACGGCAGAACTTTCTGCATGAAAATAAACTGCGACCACTAAACGCCATAAAGACTGTTGACATAACTGTTGGCTGAGAAAAATTTTGTCTGTGCAAATAAAAGATGCACGGCTAAGTGATGATCTTAATTGCGGGCGGTGATAGCAGTACCACAATCATGAGTAGAAACGACGAGATAACAATCTCTCACGTCTTCATTCTTGTTATTCACGGCTTTTAAATTTACAGATAGTCCGTGTTTTATTCATGAATTTGCTTTTGTTTTGACCGTAGAAATAGACAAAGAATCTGCTAAATTTATCTCGAACATTTTATTAACCTACCCATAAAGCTTATGGTAAATATACTAAAGTATTCCTGGGATGAAAATAAAAGTTATCTATTCAAAAGGGAAAATCACGTACTTTAGGAGTTCCCTCGAAGAAACTTGTTCACTTTGTAAACATCGCGCGCGTGTGCGAGGCACGCGAAATCGCGTTAGGTTTTGCGTGTTCGAGTCCTCGCGCGCAGGGAATTTCGCGGTAACTAAAAACTAACACAAATATGCCACACGCAGACGTCCTTACAACAATTTCTAGTTTTTCGGTAAGGAAACTAAAATTAATCAAAATTACAAAAAGGTCTATTTATATGAAGTCGTTTTTATTTTTCAAGGTCTATTGGTTCGCCGAACAGTCTCTCAAAATGCCCTATGTACAAATTTCATATTACGAGTAATTCAGTTCTACCATGATCGTCCCTTCAAGAACACATACGAATATTTACATTTATTGTACAATGATCAGAATAAAACCACGAAGTTAAAGTGCTTTTACAAGCATTCATAAGCTTCAAAAATGAAAGACGCTCCTTGTCCTGATTAATTTTCAAAACTAAATGGCTAATATCGTAGTCATTGGCTCTTTTATTATAAACTATGGAAGGTCTTTACTCTTTAGTGTCCTTGTTTTTTCATTCTTTCATTTTTCTACACCATATTCACAAAAAAATATCTCCAGTTGACGAGATCTGGGCTATAAGCGTTTCCGATCAACACTCCAGTGTTAGTCCACACTGACATAGTGTTTCTTTTATTTTCTTCTAAACGCGGGCCACACAGTCGCCAGGGATTCTCTGATGTCTGCTAAGCTGTGATCCTTGAGTGAAATTCTTGCCGCATTTGTCACACACAAACGGTCTCTCACCAGTGTGTGTCCTTATGTGATTGTTCAGAGTGGTAGCCCCGGCAAACGCACGCGAACAGTAGCCGCACTTGAATGGCTTCTTACTGGCATGACTGACAGCATGCGCGCGCAGTTGGGCGGGATGTGAGAAGCTCTGCGAGCAGTGTCCGCACTGATATGGCTTCTTTGGCGCCTCATTGCAGACGTGAACTTGGAGCATGGTTCTCTGTGGAAAGGACTTCTTGCACTGGCCGCACTTCCACAGGCTCAGCTCAGTGATGTTGCTGAATACGGGTTGACTTGGTTTTGCAGTTTTGTTCTGTCCATCTTCAGTAGGGATGGGTGAGGCAGGATTGCTGGTCTCACTTTCTGGCGATGGCAGCGGGTGAGACTGATTAACCACCAACTTCTCCTGAAGCATCAGGTGCTGTGGCTTTTCAGGGCCAGTCACAGCAGACGTAAAGTCGAAGGCAGAAGGAACGTCGCTCTGAATACCGTTGAACGGCTCACCACTGATTGCTCTGGTCGGAGATGGCTGTTGCTGACTCCCTGACTGACTGTTTGGCGAATGCGGAGGACTGGAGGGAGAAGGCACTGAGCTGGGAGGGGTGGGTGGATATTGTGTCTCAGATGGCACCCGGCCTTCTTCCGTAAGGACAGTGCCGAACTTTTCTGGCTGTTTTGTAGTTCCTATCGAGAAAACGTTAACAATATATCAATTTCCCGTACATTGCACTCTACTGTAACAAAATGTACCCAAAAATATATTCTGCCGCACCCAAATATCAACAAAAAATTTACCTTTTGCTGTCAAGGGACCCATATCGAAGATTGAGCTTGGGACGCCAAGGTATTGTGGGTATTTTTCATCGTACCAAACCAGCATTTCCTGTCCAGGCAGGATGGCCTTGAAAGAGCGGTAGTACACTTTTCCCAGGTACTGGAAGGCAAACAGGTTTTGTTCACCTTTGTGGCGAGCACAGCGGATGAAACGCATCCAGCTTGAAACTTTTTCGTCACTGCCGTCAACAAATCCCGCCAGTTTGCCGTCTTCAAAGATCTAAGGGATGCCAAGCAAGGAAATTATCAATGAAATTATCGCCCCCAAAAATGAGCATTGTAACAACGCCCAGAGCTTTTATCTCTAACATTCTCAACATACCTCCCACATGTACGAAGTATCTGTAACAGAAGACAGCTCCTCAGGCTTCATAAATGTTCCTTCATAAGGCCCAATCCACGCGCCGACAGGAATCGCTCGCTTGGCGCAAATACCGTATCCCGTTCCTGGAACGCTTGATGCACACAAGTCCACTTCCGGCGGAAGGGATTTCAGAGCAAGTGGCAGGTTTGTTGCTCGTGGAGAGGCAGAAGTTTCGTGTTGATGACACGGACACTGGAAACTCGGATCTGTTGAGCTAGCGTCGCACCCTGAACACAAAAATTATCATCAAAACGACTCCAAAAATACCCTTTGGACAACAAATTATAAAGACTTGAGACTGGATTAGTTTGTAAGCCAAGCTAATTCATACAAACACGCAAAGTGGGCAAGTGACTTCTTGCATTGGTAACTCTATTTCGCAATAACTCTTGAAAGTTTTTAGACAAAATATCAGAACAGACGATTTGACAAATAAATGCTATTACAGTTTAGTGCTTTCATTTTTCCCAGAAAACGGAACAGTTGGTTGCGTGGTTTTTCTCAGTCCATCAAAACAAGGTGCAATCAAGCTGCACGCACGAAATGAGCATTAAAAAAATATATCCTATGATGCATTTCGAGTAACTTTATCATCACATCCTGGATTACTTACAGAAACAAGTCGATCCCTTTTTCTTCACCAATACGTCCTGTGTGCTAACTGGATGAACGGCCGATGCGTTGAAAAGACATTTCTGTAAGTCAGTCACAGTGAAGGAGTACGGTGAAGGCTTTGTGGAGATCACTTTGGGCGATGAAACCATACGGGCTTTCTTGGCTACGGGCTGAAACATCCCGTCCCGATTCAAACTCACGCTATCCACGAAAGGGTTGATCATTTTTCGCGCCTGTCAAAAGGTACACATTTTACATTTGTAAGAATCGAGAGAAGTATTTAGTTTCAGCAGTGTAAAAGATTGATTTAAAAACCTGTTTCTCGGTATAGCTTTTCCGCTGGTGGAGCATTTTTCGTCCCAATTGAAATTGTTCGTAAAAACGGCTTCAAAACGCGACAGCGTATGCGCGCTTGTAAGTTTAAAAGGTTTTTAACAAGGATCGGAAATTTGTCGATTTTTATTTCTTCTCAGCCCCCGGTGATTAGTAAGCAATATCAGACTTGTCCGTGGTTCATTCAATCATACATAAAATATTCACAATTGTCTAATTTGCTTTTAAATTACCGAATGCAGCGAAGCAAATCGTTTTTCGGCACAATGGAAGGCAAGAGGCATTGTTTAAAACTGTTAACAAGTTTTTTCAGAAATTCCGTTTGCTTGCTATCCACTCACACCCTTACAACCAAAAAACATCTCGAGATTGCATGAAAAGATTGAAAATTACCCTGTTGGGTGAAAAAAGTATGAAAAACTTCATGCAAATCACGGTAGTATTTTCCTTTTGTTTTTCCCCTTCATAAAAGTTTTGGATGTTTGCATAATTACCTACGTAAACCGAAGTTTCCCAAACTTCTAGAACAGACCCACCGCAAAAAAATTGACGAAAGCGAGTTTTAAATTTATACCCTTGCTTACAATCGATTGATATCGAAATTTCGTTGCAAATTGAAGGAAAATCGTGGATTGCGGTGAGTTTGCAGGAAACTCAACTCGGTGAGGCGTAACTAGCTCAATTGCAAGTGGGTGAAGAAACCAAGAAAAAGCAAGCAAAAGTTTCGCGCTTTTCACAACCAGCAAATTGGCCAAACAGTCGAAAGTGTCAAAAACCGCGCGAAAATGCCTGCTGACAGCTGGTTGTTACTTCGTCTACTGTCAAGGAGTGGAATTTCTGTGCAACAATGCGATTCACCACTTAACTTACAAGCGCTCACCCAAACTACGCTGTCTGAAACAAAATTTATCCTTACCTTGTTTTCGACTTCCATTTCCAGTGTTCTCAAACTGTCGACGATGTGGTAATGGTATATACTTTGCGGTCCAGAAGGTGATATCTTACAACTTTTGGGAGTTGAGATTTGTCTAACTGCTTGCTTGCGTTCCACCTCGAGCACCGAATAGCTGATTAGTTTAAAGGTCTTATTTACCAAAAGGCGGGCGATGTTAAAGCTTACGCCTTTTATGCAATATTCACAGCCTTTGAAGACAAAAGTGCATTATTTTCACGGAGAATTACCACCAATAATAAGATGGAGTACAAAGGAATCTCAAGCACTTTTGTCTTTTATTTCTCTTCGTTTGTGCTTGGCCGCTTTTCGAAAAAAATGTTTACAAAACAATAAATCGACGCTTAGCTCGAGGACTGTCTGAAGAAAGTTT